ATCAATCTATCAATCTATCAATCTATCAATCTATCAATCTATCAATCTATCAATCTATCAATCTATCAATCTATCAATCTATCAATCTATCAATCTATCTATCTATCATCTAATTTATGGGCCACCCAATTCAGTCCTGATTCTGGGCAGCATACAGCATGAAACAATACAAACAGAATCCTACAGAAATCATACAATCACAAGGCTGGCTGAGGAATTCTGGGAGTTGAAGTCCACACATCTTACTTACAGTTGCCAAGTTTGAGCAACACTGCTCTAGAGGAATGCCTAGATGACCTTCCAGGTGTCTTCCGACCCTTACATTCTATGATTCTATGAACAGCTTACGGCAACATTTATCTTCATTTTCTACCACCTTGCTCCATGAACGTGCTTTGCTTCCCATCCCCGTGTTCGCATATAAAGAAATATTATCCAAAGGCCATTCATTATACAGACATCTGAGGACCACGGGCAGTACAAGCAAACCTCTAACCTCATCAGTCGGATCATCGAATCCATATCCTGGACGAATGTCTGGTTGCGCCGGAAAATCTGTGCTCGGGGGGCCTTCTCATAGGTGAACCAGTCCCCATATTTCTGTACCAGTGCTGGAATGCCACTGGCATTGAAGATTTCTTGGAAATACCTGAGCGCAGAGAAACATCCTCTAAGAGTGGTTTGGCAGCCTTAAGGGATCTTGCAGGTAAGTACCTCCTTTGCATGCATGTGGCCCCCAGTTCAGTTCGGGGCCTCTCCAGAGCCTTTGGCATGGAGAACCCATGCTCCACCTTCTGCGTGGCAAACCTTCACCCCTCCAAACATCCCAGGGAACGAAGGGGGAGGGAATCCTTACGGCACATTGTAGCTTGCCCAGTAGCCTTCTTGGTACAACAGCTTGGTCTGGTCAGCAGTAACCACCGTTCCCCTGGAGATACAGAAAAAGGGAAAAGGGATCAGCAACTATTATACCAAGCTGAGGGCTCATTTTCCAGAAATCAGGAAAGAAAGCCTGTAATACTGAAGGATGTCAAGTTCTGATTGTTCACCCACCCCAGAGTGGGATCCAAAGCAGAGGTAGCCTATCAGTTGGCCCATCCTACATTCTTCACTATGGTGCCTTCCAGAAATTCGGAGAGATCCATCTCAATTTGGAGCTAAGGAAGGATGTCCTCATGGTCTCTCCCCCAGGGCCGTGCAATGCTTTTCATTCAGTTCAGAAGAGTTGCTCTGGGCAAATGCAACCCCTCTCCAGAAGCCTTCAAGGAGCCACATCGGTCCTTCCAGCCCCCTTGATGGGTGAAATGCCACAACAGCAAAAGGCTGGTTCACGCTCTGTGCAAAGCCATGGTTTGCTTTAACCATGGCTTCCTGAACAAGCCACAACTCACACACTCCAGGAAGCTATCAGCTACAGCGCATAAGCCACAATGGCTAGGTTCATCCAGTGCATGATGGCTTAGCACAACATTTGAGGGCCAGAGATTGCTACTACTTTATTTTTTTCTGGAGCCTTTACAGACATTTTGCAAAATGAGACATGTCAAGGACACCTGTCCCAAACTAAGAAAGGCTGTTTCACAATTGGAGACCTGACCACGAAGAAGCACAAGGAGGAGTCATTTCCATTGCAAACCAGATCAGAAGCAATTCAAGTGATGCTGGAGAAAAATATGCAAATTATCATTTGCAACACTTACGGAATCTGTTCCAGCACGGTCAGTAGGCCATCTCGGGGACTAGCTGCGCCTGGGACGAACAATTTATAATCCACAATCATCCATTGGTTATTGTACCTGTGCAAAATGAAAACAAAGTATAGGAGGAGGATGTCTAAAATATGCAGTCTATTGGAACTCAAGGGTTAGCAATGTCACCTTTGGGTTATATTTGGTCTTAAGAAGGGATAGATGGATGGATGGATGGATGGATGGATGGATGGATGGATGGATGGATGGATAGATAGATAGATAGATAGATAGATAGATAGATAGATAGAGTAACCCTACATCTTCTGAACTGCCATCTTTAGAAGGATGGAAATCAGAAATTGGGCAGCAGGTCAAGGGAAACTAGGCCCTTACTTGCCTCCTCCTCTCTTTTTTTAAGGCTAAGATGGGAGACCTCCACTAAATTCCAGGGCTGTAGCCTACACCGGTAAGTTAAATAAATAAATACATAAATAATTCCTGGTGTAACGTCATTGGGAACCCCCTCCAGACTGTTGCCAAGAAAAAAAAAACACATGGAAATCTTCATAAACGCTTCAGAAGTTGAACTCAACTTGAGGAAGTGTTTACTGCTTTTTTTTTTTTTTTAACTTTCACTGTAACTAATTGCTGTCCAAGGATTTAAGTACAACGTTAGGGCAGGCCTCTGTACAGACATGCAGGACAACAGAACGTCATCTTGCCATGTTTGATGTTTGTAAGCGCCATTGCTCAGAGGTGACCGCAAAACCGCAGTTGCGAACATGCGTGTGTTTGCAGCAGTCCACAGAATGGACCACTCCAAGTTCATCCTCTTGGGAAACATCGCCTTTAATTTAAAATCCAAAGGATTTCAAGTTTTGAACTCTCATGTCTAGAGAAACAAATGCCTGTGGCTAATACCAGGGGAGGTTTATTTTGCTTCCATTATTGATATCCTGGCCCCATTCTTTTTTTTTATAATAATTTTTATTGAAGATTTTAATTACAATAGTAGAAGCAAAGACAAACTAAACTCAGAGAGAGAAGGAGAAATAAAAAGAAAGAAGAAAAAGAAAGGAAATATATAAAGAAATGACTTCTCCCTTCATCACAACAAGTATAAACAATTTTGGTAATTTATCACCTTCTCTTAAAATATAACAAATGATCTCTAATATCCTGCCCCAATTCTGAAGGGCTCTCAGCGGGTAAAGTTTGAACCAATCATAGAATAAAAACTCCAATAAATGAATAAATGTAAGACAAGGCATTAGGGGCCATCAAAGGTTCTAACAGGATGGTTCCACATGTTTGCAAAATACAAGCAAAGTTTGGACCAGTCATACCTCCGGGGGACAGTTCTCCAAAACATGGGGCCACCAGTGAGAAGGCTGTCACCTGGTCCATGAGCCTCACCAAGAGAAACCCTCAACAGGTGCTCCCTAGAGTATATGGGCAGATTCTTTCCTGGCAAGGAGATGATCTTTACCACCACCTGCTACTGCACTATTCAAACCTAAAACCTTGGAAATTGAACCCAGGACCTTCATCATGACACCCATGCCCTTCAGTCCTTCTACTCACGTGCCACTGTTGAACTTCTCAAAGATGGCCGCCCATTCTGCCCCAGTCCTTGCAAGTCGATTAGCCACAATGTTGCGCATCCATTCCAACACACTGTCGTTGGCCTGTATGTATTTCCAAAGGCTATTGTTGCTGTTTCCGATGGTAGTTTCCAGACTCACCTGCAGAAAGGAAAAACTCTGAGCTCTTCCCATGATTAAGAATTAAACAGTCAGGTCAAAGTTGGGATTCTTCCCTTTAGAAGTTGTGGTCAATTCATATGAATGTTACTTACCATGTTCTTTAATTATCTTTGAAAAACGTATGCCTTACTAGAAATGACTTCCTCAGACTTAATGACTGATAAATGAATAGGCATTACAGTTTCCAGATTTTCCATACCCTCAAGGAACCCTGGGAGTTGTAGGTCCAATATATCTGGTAGGACAATCTACTGTTTCCTATGACATGTCTGATAACTACCAAGGTGTACTTATTAGCCCAAACACCCATATTCTTCTAGCATTTTTAATTCTTTTCTTAACTGCAGTTGCCTGCCTGTGTAAACTGGGTTAGCAGAAAATCCTGCCCATCTGGATTAAATCCCCAGGGAGTAGCATGGATCCAAATGGGAATGGGTTCAGCACCCTGGACAGTTCTCTAAACATTGGGCCAGAATTGCCTCTGCTTCGGTACGATGGATAGCAACTCACCAGGTAAATACAGAACTGTTGCCACAACATTGGCCTGGAGTAACTGGCAGGGTTTTATTGCTGTGGCAGGAAAGACCTTCTGGAAGCAAACATGCCCAAACCAAGATAGAGCCAAGGGGAAACCCACCATTGACAGCACTCACCAATCCACTACTCAAGATATAGAAGTCATCTCCGGAAAGGATAGTGCCTGGATATGAGGAGAAAGCCTGGGTGTGACCAGAGATTGTGGTATCACCTGAGGAGCATAATGCAATCATCTATCAGTGCCCATCTGGAATGAGACACATATTCTAGCCACCTTTCCCATAGTAAAATAGAACAGGGAGTCAAGGGAACCTCTAGCTCAAGAATCCTGGCTTAGCACTAGGATTAAAAGCAAACACTGGGAAGTTCAAATCTCATCCTAGCTTTGGACTTTGGGGTAGTCATCGAGGACAATGAAGTTCTGCCTTATAGAATAACAATACTGCCCTGCTTTACAGGGCTGTTGCAAATATTCACAGGAGAATCTGGTTGAAGTTCTCTGGACATGACCTCAATGCTATGAGAAGAACAAGGGGAAACGTTTTAAAAAAGCAACCTTTCCAATTTTTTACTCACTGTGAGCTGAAGTCCGGAATGGCAGAGTATACTTTTTGAGGATGCGCAACATGGACTGATAGTTACTCCATGTGTCATGCGAGACAAAGATATCTTGGTTGTTAGGCAAGAGTTTGATCAAAGCTGAGCATGAACCAGAACCAAGGGTATCCTCAGTTTCAGATTTATTGAAGGCTGATTCCAGGTCTTCCAGATCACCCCCTAGTTGGAACAAGCTAGAAGAAAGAAAAGTTCTTGAAGAAACTTGGCCACCTTACCTACAGATAAATGTTGTCTGTGGTTGTGTTGATGATAGTGATAAAACACTGATAGATCTAGTTCTGTAAGCTTGAGGATACCGTATTTATTTCTCGGTCTTCCTTCACTTATCAAGGAGATAATAACGTTGGTCTATCTTACAGGGTTGAGACAAAAATTGCTAAGATTGTGGTTGACAAGTGTTTTGAATACCCTGAAGTGCTCTAAAATGTTAAGTCAGAGATGCACAATCTGTGGCCCTCAAAATCCTTAGGGGTATTCACCAAAGATCCCCAAAGGTCATAAACAAATTAGAATATTTAATAAAATATTTAATAAAAAGCAACTTTTTGATTCCTTGGAAAAATCCAAAATCTATCCCTACACCGTTGGGCAAATCTACACAAATGTATGTGTTTTTATGTTCTCCAGAACTCTTCATTATTCAAGGTGCTACAAACTCCGAGATGGGAGAGATAACATGACTGGAGAATGATCATATTGACTGTATTTGATATTAATTTTTAAAAAATGAAACAAGATCAAAGTTCATTTTTGTCCTGGCTCTACCCATTAGTTTTAAGAATGAGGTCACAGCATGCCTTTCAAAAGCCAAGTGTGAATCCTCAGCTCAGAAGAAGTTGTGGTTTCTTCTCACGCTAAACAAACCTTCTAATCCAGTATACTTGCAGTGAGCATTCTGCTTTACACAAACTACACTTTGACGGACACAGCTAAGAGAGCATTGTGGAAGTGTTTCATTCATTCAATTGCTGGAGGGATAAGAGAGATTTAAGTAAAAGGAGGCTAGGATAAACTCATGGAGATGAAGTATAGAAGCAATTAATGCCAGCTAGATGTATAAAGTTCAGAGCTGATGTTTATCTCAATTACTGGCTGGTAGGATATCACAGTAAATGTTTTATTATTTATATATTTGAACTTGTATGATGCCCTCAATTCACAGTGACTCTGGGTGACATCTAAACAAATGAAAAATGATCATCAAAAGAAAGTAATACAGAGAGAGATAAGAACCTATTATCATGCTTCCTAGAGTTGGGTTCACACAACACTCTGGCCCAATGCCTGAGAGAACAGCCACCTCTTAAGAGCCTTATGGAAGGCCAGTAGGGGTGGGGCTATCCAAAACTCATGGGGGAAGCTATTCCACAGGGCAAGTACCACAGCAGACAAGGTACGCTTCCTTGGTCCCATCAGAAGGCATTGCTTGATGGAAAGGACCCAGAGCATGCCAAATCTGTTGGATCTGGTGGGATGAGCAAAACTAATGGGAGGCTCATAGCAACTGCCTTCATATGTTGCTGGCATGCTTCTCAGAGGCATCTGGTTGGCATCCATGAGATAACAAAAAGATGGATTACATAAAAGAGATTCCATAAGGCATATTGTCCCAAGGCAGATCAATGACAGATCATCCCAAGGTACTTTTACCCCAAGGTAGGCTATCATCTCAAAATAGATCAATAAGATTAATCTTCCCAAAGGTAGATTATTCCAAAGTAGATAGATAGATTATCCTAAGCAGAAACCATACATACATAATAGAGGCTTTTAAACTTGAATGGGGATCATGGAAATCCATGATTCCTGTCTCACCAGAATATTCTGGTGAGAATATTCTTGTCTCACCTGGCCTCTTCCAACCAAACAAAATATTTTCTGCCTGGCCTGCCCTCCAGCCTGCCCTGTGTGTTTATGCAATCTCGAATTCTTGGAAAGTTTTCAGGGGAAGGAGAAGGTTCCTTCTGACCCAGAGTGTCTGTATCCATCCTTATCTTGGAAGTGATAAGCAATTAGATCATCATGACCAACTTTCAGAACATCTCAAAAGTGAAGGAACACAACGGTTTGCATGCAGATTGCATGCAAGCACAACGAATTCATCATCCAGTGCTTTGTTTTAACCAATTAACCACATTTCCCAGGTCTATTGACGATCCAGGCTTTATTCACACATGTGACTGTAGGACAGACTTGGCTGCTTGTCTAAATGTAGCCATCCTCCATATTTACATGATAGGATTCTCTAGAGCTGTGCAACGGTGATTGAACCAAGTCTCCAAGATGCCTCTACTGTAATTTCATAAACCCTTTTTCTTTTCTTGACTGTTTGGAAAGACCCGACCAAATCAAATTCGGTTTCCCAAATTAATTCAAGCAAATTAATTCAAGCCGTCAGACTGGATTGCTGATTTGACTCACTTGGCAGTTCAAAGCAGGCCCAAGCACACCATTCCCATTCTCCATATGCCCTCACCCCTATCCTTAATGTGGGAAATTTACCTAAAAATACACCACTACTAACAACAGAACTTGGACAGGAGGTACCATTAAGCTACATAACACTGCAGCCAAGCCCACCTAACCTTGCCATTTCTGTGTGAAGCTCTGGTTTCTGCATCAGCCCATTACTCTCTTCCATGCATCCTTAAGGTCATGCACCAATCCTGAGCCTAACCCAACAGTGCCTGTGAATGCTTCGTCCCAGAAAGGTACTCACAGAAAGCCAAAGGGAGCAACAGAGAATCTGCCAGTTGGGAAGGCAATCTGACCATTGTACCCATCCTCTAGACCTTTCAGCTGCAGCAGAGCAAGGCGTACCTGGAAATTTGGATGGGCAACATAGAGATGTCATTCACAGGAGATGGCCTTGAAGAAAACATGCAGCAACCATTAGTAAAACATGAGCTTAGCCCCGGGAAAACAGGTAAGTGTGAGAAAGAAACTCAAGATTGCCTCGCCTTGATTCTCTTTGGTATATGACAGTGTTTCTCAACCTTTGGCAAATAGCTTATTTAGTGGGGGGTTACTTGCACCTCCCCTTCCCCCCTCCACTCCCCCGGGGGTCCCCCCCTCTAGGCGTGTTTTGCATACCCTCTCTCT